AATTTTTGGGGTACAAGGCCAGATTGCACTACCGAAAATATGCTCACAATGAGCAAAAGAAGTCGCTTCATATATGGAGTCATTAGAAGAACTACATCAATCGTCGGTAGATATAACATATTGCATTGCCTATGGCTCTGATGATTGCAAGAGCAGCATCTCGAACAGTTTCCCACATCCTTGTTTCATGAAGATGGACCGCCATAATTATGGTTGTCAGGTTAAATGGCAAATCGTATTGTATTGAAACACTTGATTGATTATGAAAATAATTTATTAATATTTCAAATAAGCACAAAAAACTGCGAGGCCTATTATAAGAGTCTTCAACAGGAATGACATTTGCGAATTGCTCATTTAACTTTCGCCAAAACTAAGAGAAGTTTCAAATTGTCGATGACATCTCGCGGTTCACATGTAACTCGACCTTAGCAATGAAATAATAAGGATCTGATAATTTGCCGATGCTCGTGTAAACACTTTTTCACTCTATGATGAAAATGATAAAACGATAAGGTGTTGTGTAAGCGTTCCTTTCGAACATATGTACGTAGGGAAGGGAGAAAAGAAGGGGCGTGATCGTTCCTCTTAATAGGTATAGTCTTAATCACTACCTATAAAAATAACTATGCACACAAATATTAGACAGTAATAGTTCTCAGGGATAGGCGTCGCAGAGCACCCTAGCGCGCCGTAAAAGCGGCTTATACATACATATATACTAGGGCCCACGAACGATGATCCCTGAGCCGCGGGTATTTCTTGCAAACACTGGCAACAGCGACACCCCGGCCCGAACCGAGTCTCGAGTTCGGGGACAATGCCGAGCCGAGCCACAATCGAACCCTAATTACTTACGCGTAATTTACAATTTTACCCTCCCGCTAGAAAAAACCAAAATTAGTTGAAAGTTAGGTAACATTTTTTTAGCAAGTGTTTCGTTACTCTCCTTTAAAACACGAGTAAAAAGAGGCCTTGTTTATAAAAATCGGTCAAATAGCAGCAAAGTTACAGTTCGAGATACGATGTTATAAATAAAAATTGGACTTCGCTTCAAAAAGGAAAAAGAAGGAAAAAATAAAAATTGTATGTAGCAATTATATATGATTTAGCTCAGAATTTTACGAGCAATCCAACCATGTAATGGACGAAGAGATTGGGGCAAAATTACAAGAAATCGATCTTTTACGAAAGGGCTTCCTATGAAGAATTTTGACCTGAAGATAGGGGTAGAATAGCAGCAGTTCGCATACAATAGCTTTTCGCGTTCACAATACCCGACCTCGTCGATGTGCGTGCTCGACCCTGCAGCGTTGTCATTTACATGGTACGTGCGTTTATTCGCCCGATTTTTCAGGGATCATCGTTCGTGGGCCCTAGTAGGGATGACAAAAAACTGAAACCTAAGTTATCTCTTACAAGATACCTCGTAAAAATTATTGTTCATCCTAACATACAAAGAGCAAAAATACTCGAATATATCAAACTAAACCTGGGTTGAAATTTAATGTTTCCAGTTTATAAGCCATAATGTTTCTAGGGAGCTATTTAGATTTTACTTTGCTGTTCGAGGTTTAACATGCCAGATTTCACCCACACAATCAACTTCATAAAAACGACAGTAAAGGTATTCTCAAAATTCAATTTCAATTATTTAGGTGAAAGTCAATCAAGGCAGTTTGTATGAGGTGACGGTGACGATTCGGAACCCGAGAACAAAACCCCTGTACTCGAAAAGCGAACTTTATTTAGTGTTCCGCGCCTCTTTGGGAAGTTCTGTCCCGGTTCGTTTCATCAACCACCAACACCACTGGATTCCGTTGTTACCAGATTCCATAAATCAGATACGTTGGTTTTCAAAAGGTCGAACCTTTTTCAGAACCACCTGGCTAGGTGGTACCAAAATCACACACCAACCTTGCGATTCGTTGGTCGTCAAATCGAGAGTTCCGAACTCAAATAGAATGACAGCTCGGAGGTACGGGCACAAAAGTAGTACCGAACCTCTGAATAAAATTCGCTTGAGCACCGCCCATTACTGGCGCGGCGATTGATTCCATTGGCGCCGCACGCGCGCCAACACAGCCGCACACAGCGCACCAATCTCGCGCGCGCTCGTGGCTCGGGATTGGTGCGCTGTGTGCGGCTGTGCTGGCGCGGGCGCCAATAGAGGCAGATACACAGAGAGACTCTACGTTGCTATCTCGACAATGGAGAAAGTTTTTATTTTCGGGACTTAACATTCAACTGTTGAACTTCCTACTAGGTGGATGATTAAAGTGTTGAGAATTTCTTTTTGTAAACAAACCGAAGTTTGAGTGACTTGTTTGGCTCCAAGCTCATCATAAACCCAGTATGTTTTATGACTTTTGCTCCCTCATAATTTTCCTCAAGAAGGTGTCCAATTCCCGAAAGAGAGAGTTTCCACCGTCGCTCAGGGTCTCTCTTTGTCCCATCAATGGAAGTGAAGGCTACGCCGATGTGGGGTGGTCATCATTTTGGCGACTCGCCCAAATGATACGTTCGATACGGCAACGTTGTTTTCTAAACTCACCTTATTTAAGCGCTGAAGCTGGCGTATCACTTTTCTGGCAGTACTGGAGAGAACGATGAATTATTGAGTTTTGTTGACAGGAGGTTCCCAAATTCTGCTTCATTACGCAGTTAATTAATAATCGCTAATTAATTGCTGTTTTTTGGTCACTTTTTCAAATCACCCGCGCCGCATTCACATTCGTGCCTCGAAATTTTGCCTTCGATAGCGCATCCGTATTAAATATAAATGTGCTGTCAAAATGTATGAAAATCATTGCAACTCAGTCAGAGGAGCACTGTGAATTACAAGTACAAATTGCCATGTCGAAAGTATCGCTTGTGGGAGTCGCCGAAACGATACGTTCATTTGGGCGAGTCGCCTAAGTGACCTACATCCCCGATGTGCGATGGGAGATGCTCGAGTACAGAATTCTCGTTCTCGAGTATTGCATCATCACCATGATAAGTAAGTGGTCCCTCGCCTCCTTAAGATCGAGATCGTATTTTTGCTGGAAAACCCAACAGAACGATTTTCAATCAAAACATGGCCATAGCGCCTCTAGTGGCACAAAATAATCATACAGATATATGTAAATCACACCAAAAACACTTCCGTGTAAAAATGACCCGCCAAGCTAAAAATAT